ACATCAAATCAGTAAGTACCCCACTGGTAAATGTCTGAAGCTTTTACACATCTTAAAAAAGCCTGTTGCTAACAAGTGACTCAATGAGACGTCAAACATTAGCACCTTTAGCTTAGCGGTGGTGATGTGAAGTCATATGATTGTCATACAGTTCCTTTATACCCTAACTTCCGACAGTGCTTACAAAAATACTTCACAGGTGCCCCACCCTATCAGCCACCTCCACCTTCTTCTGTTGTGTCTTTATTTCTCTGACCTGTATCTTGCCAAGAACTCCGGTGCTGTCCATCCGGCTGGCCACGTTCACAGAGTTCCCCCAGATATCATACTGAGGTTTATGAGCTCCGATCACTCCTGCGATCACTGGACCGTGGTTTATTCCTGCAGGTATAAAAAAAACATGAAGGATCCTTACATTTTCATTAACATAAAAAAACATATCTTTGTGTTTTTAAAAATGTCCTCCTTGGAGTTGTTATTCTAGTCTAGAAATATTTTTTGTGATTTCTTTGCTACTGTAATTTTTTCTTTATTTTATCGCAATTTTGTACCTTTTATTTGTACAGTTTAAAGATGCAAGTTAATAAGTCCAACTACTACTTTGATAATTGAGTCATTTCTGAAGTTACTTTTTTTACCCTTTCAAATATGGAGATTTCCGGGGAAACTGCAATAGACATTTTTACACGTGTTCTGAAAATATATGTGGGCTGAACATTCCATGACAAAAAGATTCGTAAAAACCAAAATACTTGTGTACAAATTATATTAGGGAAATAATGGGGAAGGAAACCCAGCGTTATGTTTTGTCTCAAGTTTATGAAATGTTATGTTTGTGTCCGTTTTGACCTAATGGTGACTCACCAATCCTGAGTTTGAAGCTGTTGAAAGAGTGTGTGTTGATGAACTCTAGTTTGTTCATCAGAGCGATGGCAAACTCCACCATGGTGCGCACATGGCTGTAGGACATCTCCACTTTCTGTAGGGGGCGCCAGAGACCATGTTTATAGAGAGCAGGGTGGCTAAGAGTTTTGATTTGAAAACGTTATTAAAGACATCTGTAGCTGTCGTGAACAAACCTTTTCCTCATCGCTGAGTGGAGCGTGTCTCAGCCCCGCGGCGGCCATGTACGTACTGCCGATGGTCTTTATCTTCTCCACTGAGCAGAATTTGGGCTTTGAGAGAAGCTGGAAACAAAAGAGTGCAGTTAAGGACACAGACCTTATGTGACACGGGGGATGTTTAATCTTCTTCCTCATACCTCGTCAAAGTCCGATATGATCTCGTTGAGGAAGCGCATACACTCCAGCCCGTCCCTGTTGGCGCTGCTCTCGCTGTAGAACTCTTTAAACTGAGGCACCGAGGCGAACATCACACACACACAGTCGTAGGACTGACTGTACAGGTCCTGAAACACACATTTGAAATGAAAAAGGACTTAGTTACAAGATAACAGGCATTTGAAACCATCAACTCAGAGTCATTTCTAAGTGTTAAGGATTTTCTAAATGGTGAATTTCTACTTTTCGGATACATGTTTTGACATTAGTTCATTGGTTAAGATACAAGAACTTTATGTTCCCAAATAAACGCAGGAATCACAATGCAACTAAATCAATACACACATATCACATCTCTTAACATACATGCATGCAAAGCTATTTTATTCAGACCTCACGGTTCATTTCAGTGATCTCAAATGCATTTTGTCTTTCAATTTCAATCTAATATGAAACTCTGCATACAGTAAAACATCAAAATAAAAGCTCTTACTGTCTCCTTGGAAAATGTAATAAATACAAAAATATATTAATATTAATATGAACATGAAAATATGTGAGAATTTAAAATAAAAAAATAGAAAAAATACATTATATTAGAAACTAATTAAGTAAAAACTTTGATAAAAGATTAAATAAAATATTAATATAAACTTAAGATGCTCTGTTAGAATATATGCAGTGCTGTATTCGCTTTAATAAGCTGGCATAGCTAACCAGAGAACAACACTGGCAGATGACGGGTATTTAATACCTGGTTGCGGATATTTTTGCCAATGAAGTAAGAGGCGACGTGGAGCGGCAGCACGTTCTGAAGGAGCAGCTTGTTGACGTTCTCCATCGTCTCCATCTCCTCCCTCTCCGTCTTGAAGCAGTGGTCCAACAGGAAGTCTACCCGGCAACTCAGCTCGTCCTGACAGAGAAACAACAAATATCGAATGTGGGATATAGATTGATTTATTTTATTAAATGAAATGACAAAAACACACACATACCTGTCTGGCCAGTATGAGGCACACGATGTAAAAGATGACCAGCCAAACCCCCGACATGATCTGAGGGTCCTTCAAGATTCCCGGCCTGTAGAAAGACACATCTTTAGAGCCAAACTCACACATAATCTGGTATACTTCACAATCGTCACTCTTTTCTTCTTCCATTACTTAACAATAATAATAATACATTTGATTTATATAGCGCTTTTCCTGCTGCTCAAAGCGCTTTACAAGCAAGTAAAGAAGAACAATAACAACAAAAGTAAAAAGTGCTAAACTAGGTGGAATAAGGGTGAGGGGTTAGTGGATTAGGAGTTGAGTGAAAAGGTGAGTTTTGAGGCATTGTTTGAATGATGTGAGAGTGTCTTAAAGGTCCCATGTCATGCTTTTCCGGTTATTACCCGTCCCCTTGTGTGTTATGAAAGTTTTTCTGCATGTAAACGGTCTGCAGAGTAGAAACCCTCAAAGTACACCCTGTAGCGAGTAAAACTCTAACACAGAAAAGACCTCCCCGAAACGACTCGTTGGAGATACGTCACTGTCCATTGATTCTTCCGGGTAACTCATGATGTCATGCGTTACCCGGAACCAAATGGACCAATCCGTGGAGCCGTTACGTTAAGCCCCCGCTGATTGGTCCAAATTGACCAATCCACGGACTTCCTCACACACACACTCAGTGCATGCAGCTCTGCTGATCTCTCCTCCCTGCAGGCTGATAACAGACAGTTGGGATCGAGACGAAATTCTCTCTGCAGACCCATTCTCACAGCGTTTATCAACCTTTTTCTTACTCAATATCAAGCCACACTTATTTTTTTACTTCGGCTGTGACTTTGTGTGTGCTCAGGGTGAGTTTGGCTGTGTTTCGCTGTGTATCGCTAAACAAGGAAACCACACCTCCACGGAGCTCAGCGCGATTCACAACGTCCCGACCAATCAGAGCACACTGTGCTCACAGGGAGGGTGGGGGCTGGAGCTATTGGAGCTACAACGAGCCGTTAAAGGCAGAGAGTGAAATTCAGTGAATACACGTAGTTTACAGAGATGCTGTATGAGAAACCAATGTGATTTTGGAAAATTGAGCAATATAAATCTATTCTAGTAGACCTCAACAATGGAATTATGATCAGTGGAAATGGCCATGACATGGGACCTTTAACATAATACAATGACCTAATACAGTGTCTTGTGTCTCAGTTAGTGTGGCCTGTACCCCTGTGAAGGCCTCTCGCTTCAGAAAGCTCTTGAATAATTGACGGTGATCTGAAACTCCAGATAAGGATTCACAATCTGGACTGAGAGTGTTGGACAAAAGGCGGGACATCTAACACCAGCAAGGAGGACAAAGTGAGGACTATAGGTCTGTGAGTGAATGTGCACGAGTGGAAAGTGAACTTTACTGAGACTCTGTGTGCACAGCTAGCAGGCTGAAGCACTTAGTAACCCTGCCTGCACACAGACATGCATCTTAAGTTACACAATATCATCAAAATGAAGAATATTACGTACTATCACTGTACTTTACCAAATAACGAAACAATAGTACTTGAAGCTGTTTAATCTAACTTTAAACTTAGCTTTTCTTAACTTACTGTATGATATTTGTGCTTTTATTGTGTTATATTGTACATCTTTACCCGCTGACTTTCAATTGAAATAATTTGTTTATTGGGTTTTTTCACAAGCAAACAGTTATCTATCAGAGCATGTATCAAAAGTAGGGTTAGGGTCTGTAAGGGAAACTTCTGCAGCAATGGAGAGTCAGGACTCAGAGAGACACGAGGAGAGTTGGAGCTTTGATGTCAAACAATGATGTTTATTACAAGTCAACGGCCGGAGAATTCATATCACAAGTCACCGCAGCAAAAGGCTCTGACTGCACGGGTGGGTTGCCATGACAATTCTGCCCAGCCTATCTCTTGATAGACCTTTTAACTAGTTTACAGAGAGTCAAATCCACATATTGGGGATGGGCGTAAACATCTGCAGACACAGGAGATGTCTCTCACATCTGTGGAGCTTAGAAAGCCAGTGTTCTCACAGTCGTAAAACCCCCCCTGTGCCCACCAGGTCAGGCCATAAAACCTAGTATCAACATACGACTGCATTAACACATTCCTTACGGGAGATTAGAAGCAGTGATAGTCGTAAATGTCAACACACAGAATAAGGTTAGATATCTTAGGAGTAAGGAAGAATTATTCTTTGACACTTAGGAGTAGGACAGAAATATTCCCTTACAGTAACCATTTTGGTTCAGTTTTGATACAGTTATACAGCTGAGAAAATGTTGAATCAAACAAAAAACTGTAAAACCTGCTCGTAGCACAAATTCCTTTATGTGTAGCAAATTCCATGCAACACTTTATGTCGACCTTGGCCGCTCTGAACTACATTTGCCAACTTCATGACCATGAATATCTAAATTGCATGACAATAGGTCTTGGACTGACAGACGGACATGCTATCCAACGCTGTTGCTGGAAGTGCACATTATAGTGGCCTTATTACTAGTACTAGTGTATTGAAATCATAAGTCACAGGTCGCAAAACACAAAATAAAAAAAAGGTAATGAAGTCTCATTTAGAGATTTCATTTTGCATTCTGTTTTTTACAAAGCACTGACATTTTCCCTCTGCTGCACATTATGTACCCTTTTTGTCACAGTTCACTGCCTGAATCAACTAAGTGTTTTTAGGCCCACAATTCGGAGTCTACTAAAGAGAACAACCAATAACACCTGCTTCAGTGAGTCACAAGATGTCTCAGTAAAGTTGATTGGGTCCCTGATTCAACACTCTTGTCTGATTTTACATCTTGGCAGATATTTAAGCAATTACCCTTTCCAAATAATGCCACTTTGGGGAGTTGTGCAATTAGGAGTCCAATTCCTTCGCTGAGGGTCCACCCTCTGCAGCAAGCCTTGATCAGTCGTTTTGTGTTGTTAAATGGGGTGTGAATGCATATTTAAAGTTGTAGTAAGCTGCTCTGAGGCGATTTCAGATCAGTGACATGATTCCCCAGATCTTTGAGACAGGAGATATGACTCATCCACAATCTCATCCCGAATGAGCACAACTCAGATCCCATCATGGCAACCCCTGGCTGTCTTCTGCTCAATTTATTATTCACAGCATAGCAGAGGCCTGATTCACTGAATCTAATCGATATGCCTCTGTTGCCTTTTAACTCACCCTGTAATCCTGGGTCTTTTATGCTGGAAATTCAAGAGCTGCAAAATAACTCTACACCAAGACACAGGCGTATTTATCTAACGTATTTTCTTGCCAAACTGTGGCTAAGCTGTGACATTCAGCGTCTGACTCCACTGACCTTTAACAGTAATTCTCTGTGTCTAGTTGCAGAGCTGGAGCATTCAGCTGTGTGTCACCTGAACAGGAGTGTGCTCTCTCAGGCACGGATCTAATCCTATTTGTTAAGCCCTGCCACTGGGCAACAATGGAAATGCATGCATCCTCCTGAACCAGAAATGTGCCCTCAAAATGAGGTGATTCTTCATGGTTGAACACTGTAAAAAGGTTGAATTAGAGGGTGTGTGTTTGCATGTAGATATTTTGTGTAAGAGCCCATGACACTGCACCACAAAATGCATTCGCTTACATTTTAATGTCATGACCTGCATCGACATGGATCATTTAGTGTACCAATTTCTCTCTCTGCGTCTTTTTGTTTCTGAATGTTTCTTTCAACACCCCATTTCCATGAAGATTGATCAAGCATATTAGCATACTGGCTGAGCAAATAGAGAGCCGCAGTGACGCGTCCTTAAACCCGGAAGTAAACTCCTTCCGGTTCCTTCATCAAAAACCAATGCAAATTCTCCATAGGATTTTGGAAAATAGCTCGAAATAAGGTCTGTGGTTGACACAAATTTAAGAGAGGGATCACATTTTGTTCAGCCGGATAATCTCCATATGTCAAACGTACTTTTATAAGTTTTGAATCATAAATCTAGTCGCCAGAAGCAAAATGCTAACGTTATGCTATAAACGAACTACAAGCCAGTACAGCAGCAGGGTCGCACGACTTCAACGTCACGCCAACTTAAGATCGTTTCAACTGACTTTCGCGCACTTGCATATTAACAAAGCTTTTCATTTGAGCCACACTGAATTTCACTAGAAGTCATGGCTGTGTCAATTACCTGATATCATTTTACAAAGATGACAAGAAGAGTGTAGATAGAGGAGAGAACCACTATAAGTCAGGACACGTACAACAGTGCAGCCTAGATGAAGGTGTGCTTACCGGTGTTGTCAGAGCTAGCATGAGGGACAAGGTTTATAGAGTGTCGGTGAGTAGTGATAGTGAGAGTACCGTTAACCTAGAGTTAATTTATTCACATTAATTCCCATCAACAAATCCATTTTATGTGTCACATGAAATCTTTATTACAAATATTACACACCAGAAAACACAGAAATATCCATGAAATAAACATACAGTAGGCTATAAACAATTAAAAGGGATAATTGGGAAGGCATTACAAATGTAAATATATTTTAAATAATAAAACAATCCCACCACCACAGGAGAAGAGGGAATTCTCTCCACAAAATGTGAATGCCCACGTGGACAATGGAAATGCAGTCATGCCAACCCAGTCTCACAAAAAAACGTGTAATAACTACATTGGTCCACAACGTAGGACGTAGTATTTCTACAAAAACGCCTCTGAAATTGTAAGATCCCTACGTTTTTTTTCACCATTCATTCCAATGGCGTCTGTCACGTGATCTTCAAATTTCTCCCTGCAGGAAAAAAAAACATGGCCGAACTTCTNTTTACTTGGAGCATGGTTTGCTAAAATAAACAAACGTGCTATATTTATGATGAAATATTAGCGAGTGAGGGTTGCAATACCCTTGGCAATTGTTGCTTCTTGAGGGGAGTTTCCACTGCTTGCTACGATAAACCAGGTGTATTATGACTAGTAAAGACAAATAATTAACAAATAAATATCTGTATTGACACAGCAACGTGTACACTGGTGTTATTAGACTTGGCTACAGATTTAGGGCAGCTGTAACTGATTGCAGTTGCCACTGCTAGTGCGATGC